TCTTTTCTAAGAACAATGGAAATTGACTCTTCAGGAATTCCAAGTATACAAGCCATTCAAGAGAAGTGACTAGAGCTCAGCAAGCCACCTTCAAAACAGGACAGTGCTAGTAGGGTGTTGTGACACATACCTGTAATTCCAGCACCTTGGGAAACTGGGGCAGGAAGATGGCAATTTCAAGTCCAGCCTGGGCCACTTAATGAGATCTCATCTCAAAATAAAAAGGGGAGGATGCGCTGGGGATATAGCTTTGATATTTGATAATTGATATTTGCCTTGATGTACAGGACCATGGCAGCCTTCCGATTAGGACTAGATTTCCTGAGATTCTTCCAGTTCCCAAACAGGCCAAGGTTGAGAATGCTGTGCCTCCTGGTGTTTACTCAGCAACCAGCCTGGGAACTAGCACATCTGCTGAATGAATGAATGGACCAGGCACACACTGACTGCATGTGTGCTCATCAGATTGAAGGATTCTGGTTCCCATGACAGTAACGCAGGAGTTACTTCTTTGTTTGGCTATTTTATTTTCTTCCCAGTATGTCCATTCTTCAACCATAGCATCTTGGCTTGCTTTCTGGGTCCTGTGCCTTAACCTTTAGCCAGTGAACCACCATACCCAGACAGAGAAAATCAAAGATCGTGGAAAAGTTATTGGGAACTCTAGCACTGAGATAACTTGCAAAGAATCTCCTCCAATCGACTACTCCTAGCTCCTGTTTCCAGAAAAGTTTCCCATGAGCTCATATGCCTCTCTTATGCTCAGAAGTACATTATGGAGGCTTATTAGAGTACTGGATTAATTCTGAATAATCCATTCAATTAAAAGAGGTTCAGACATTAAATATGTAAAAAAAAAGTAAGAGCAATTACTGACTATATTGTGGTTTTAAAATGTAAGGCAAGAAAGCTGAAAGGAGGTCCCTTGTCTCAAAACAGGGCAAGAAGCTACTACTTCAATTGTACATGCAGGGGCTGTGGCAGGCATGAGAAACAGTGGAGCAGCAGGGAGTATACTCAAACTAACCCTGGCACTATCTAGACACACTCATGCTACTCTGCCCATCCAGACTACAGATATCAACTCTCACCTGCAGATCCAGGTAGGAGGCATACTTTTGTCTCCTTCAATGGTGTCCCAGATTCACGGTGGTTTATAGCTGTATCACACTCAGTCCAGGACCTGGCACATAGCAAGTGCCACTCAGTGTCAGTCAATTATTGTATGTGATATCTATTTGTGAGTGTTGAGGAGGAGGGGGTAAAGACCCTGGAGGAAGCTCTGGATGGATGTATACTAAGGCCACTTTTCTGCAGGTGCAAAACTTACGTTAGGTTTACCAAGAAGAACTACATGTTTAATGCTATTTGAGGTATCTGTTTAAGGTATTCATTCAGTCAGTCACTCAGTCAGCTCACAGCTCACAGGTGCTGAGAAACTGTGTCTGTGCTGGGAGGATATGACATTTTTTGGTCCCTGCCCTGTAACACATTCTAGCTTATATGCTCCATGGTGGTCAGAACGATCCAGGGAGATAACTAATATCTCATTCTACTTAGAAGGCTGTGAGAGGTGACACTGCCCCAAGGCCATACAACTAAAGGTAAAGAATTCAAGTGTAACCCACATTCCTCCAACTCACACACCAACAGCATGGTTCAGGCAACTAGCTGTACCCACCAGACACCAGGACACAGCTCCAGGAAGCTAGGGCCCAGTATCTAGTAAGCAACTGTCTTGTCAGGCCTACAACAAACTACCTGCCTACCTACCTACTAGGGCTACTCAGATGCTACCTGATGCATACAGCAGAGGCCCCAAGACAGACCACATCAGAATCCCTGATGTTATATTTCAACAGTAAACTCTCATCACCACTGCAGTTACAGGTGGAGAGTCTGTCACATATTCCTAAGTTCAAGGTTCTTTTCTGCCCACACCAGAATGAGGAGCCCATGCAGAAGGGCCAAGCTTGCCAGTGAATGGATGAATATTGGGCCCCTACTGGGCTGGGGAATGGGGTATTCCCTGGATCAGTTTGAAAGGCCAGCCCTGTTACACTGATGGTTTAGCAAAAAAGAGCATTAGGTACTGGCAGCCAGCATGCATTTTTCAGGCTTTCTCCAGTAAGAGGAAGGGAATGGAGTTAGACCACAATGCTATTTGCTTCTACGTCCTCCCAAAGCCTCTGGATCTTGGGGTTGTGGATGGGGGACAGCCAGAGATGTGGAAGACAGGGAAAGGAATGGAACTAACTGCCCAGCAAAGTAGGGGACAAAAATAGTTTCCCAATTGCCAGCCCTCTCTGCCTCTCACTTTCTTTGCTTGCCTAGCTTAAACATGGGGCCTGAAATTCAACTCAGGTGACAATGTTCCCAAATAAAATGCATGACTCATACACCTGGATAGAGCAGTGGCCTCTGTACTGCGTACTGGGGCTCCCCTTACCACAGCGGCCCAGTGGTGTAAGAGCTAATCCTCTCTCCATATGAAGGGGGACAGGGAACACAGCAGCTTAGATCTTTCACTCCTTCCCAGCATTGAGCCAGAAGGCATCACCTTGGGGGCACTCTGAGGCTAAGGAGAATGAATGGAGTGAATGAACAAAGAAAACAAAAAAAAAAGAGACTAGGAAAAGAATAAAAGAATAGCAAGAAAGACTTCTGGGAGAATATGGCAGATAAATAACAGCAGCTACAGAGGCTCTTTGAGATAGGCAGTTTAGATTCCAGGAATGGTGCGGTGTGGGGAGTCCTAAGCAGCAGGAGATATACCCTGCCAACCCAGGAATGAACTAAGCTGGGAGAAACCAACTGAAAAGGCAATCCCGGTGTTAAATCTGGAAGAGCTAAAGGCTCAGTGCTGACGCTGGAACCTGTGCCTCTGGAAACTGTGGCTTGAATTTCCTGCCACCGCTGCTGCATCTGAATTGACACAGCAGGGATAGAGACAGGAAAGCTCTGAGAGAGGGAATTGGTGAACCGGATTGAGAGAAGAGCTGGAGGTGAGCCCTGCATCGACCTGCGGTGAGTGACAGGAACAGGGACCCTTCCATAGACTAGGAGGCTCCAACAGAGGACATTCTGGGACCAGGCAGACTAGTCAGAACAGGATGCTGCAGTGACTTCAGTCACATACTCCCCTCTCAAGTGGGATTGGTGGGAGTGCTTGACCTGGGTGACTCTGCAGAGTAAGACCCAGTAGGCTAGCCCAAACCAGGTCCCTGTGCCTGGCAGTGCACCCTAATGTAGTGAAGCCTTCAGCAGGTTGAATGACCTGCGGGGGCAGGACCAGCATAGGCAGCCCAGGTCTATGCCTCCCGAGTACACTGCAGTGGGCGGGAACACCTAAACACAATTAAAACAAACTGTAACTGACAAAGAAAGAAACTGGGCCTCCTATATATGCTTGTATGGAAGGAACAAAAAGTATGGGAAGAAGGAGCAACAAGAAAGGGTCCTCAGTCCCCAATCCTGAGAACATTGATCTAGTAAAGGTAAATGCAAAGGAGAATGAGAACAAAAAACATGCAATATCAGGCACGGCATGAACAGACATAAAGCAATATCTCCGGGAACTCATAGACGATTTCAAAAGTCAAGTATTTAACCAAGTAAAGCAAGATGTAAGTAGAATAGTGAAAGAAATGCTAAGATGGTGGAATGGAAGAAAAGAAAAAAAGGGGAGAATTGTTTGATGGAGAAAATAGAGAAAACGTAGAATACGTGAAGCAGGTTCAAAGAGATTACCGGGAAACTAAAAACTCTATTGAAAGCTGGCATAACAGCTTAAAAGAAACTAAGGATAGATTATCTGAACTGGAGGATAGATTTGTAATGTGGGAGCATGAAAGGAAAAATTTCTTAAAAATAACAAGGAAACAAGCAGTAACAATACAAAGGCTAGAAGATAGGATCTATAACTTCAGAATTAAGAACATAAAGGAAGAAGCAGGGATACAAACAAATGAACTGCAAAAGCTATTCACAGAAATAATCAAGGAGAACTTCCCTAATATGAGAAAAGGTAAAGATACTCAGATGTATGAGGGAGGCATACAGGACCCCAGCCACCTACAACCCAAACAGAACTACACCCAGGCATATAATAATCGAGATTCCAGAAATCCAATATAAGAACAGAGTATTAAAAGCTGTTAGAGACAAGAAACAGATCACTTACAAGGGAACACCCATCAGAATTACAGCAGACTTCTCGGCACAAACCATCAAATCATGAAAAGCATGGGGGGAAATAACTCAAGCTTTGAAAGACAATAACCTCCAGCCAAGATCGATATATCCTGCACAACTGTCCCTAGAAATTAATGTAGAAACAAAGTGCTTCCAGGATAAAGAGAAACTAGCGGAATATGCAACCACCAATTCAACTCTACAGAGAATACTGCAGGACATTCTAAAAGAGAATAATACCAAGATTCCAGAAACAGTGGCAGAGAAGCCACAATGAATGCAGCAGAAAACAAAATGAAGAAGACAAACTGACAACTAACAACAGAAAAAGAGCTCAACAGAAATGAGGCAGAGAAGGTTAGATGGTAGGAACAGCTATTTTGGAGAAAACAAGACATCATAATAGCTAGTGCTGATTTAATATCATCTTGTTTTGAAGTCCCATCAAGCTTTTGTTCTTCTGTCTCCATCGGTCTTAACATGTTGTATCTTATTGGATTTTATTATATGTGATAATATAAACAAAAACTTTTACAGACAAGGAGATACTACAGAAACCACTGTTCATTTTCTGTTAGTGGGTTCTAAATACCCTGTGATACTGTCATTCTCTTGAATGGTTTTACATTGTCTTGCTGTGTTTGATGCTACAGTATATGAAGTTATACTCAAAGATTTCAAGGAAAGAGACACTATGATAACTACTTTTATGTCGGGATATCTTGTGGTGAAACACTATTTTTCTTAAATGGTTATGTTCTGGCCTGTGCTGTTTTGTTGTTATGTCCTCTTTTATCTCAATCTCCTTTTTTATTATTTATTTTTATCTTTTTAATCAAGGGAAAAATAAATAAATAGTAGGATATATTATAGTAACCCACTTTGATTTCCTATTAACTTGATTTGAAACCCTGTATTGCTGTCACCATTTTGTTTTGACTGATTTTTCTCTATTCTGTTTTGCTTGATAGTACCAAGTTTGAGAGTATAGGCAACAATTGTGAAGACAATAAGATTCACTATGATGCCCATTCTGGTTTAACTATTATCTTCTTTTGAAGTCCTGTAATGTCTCCAATGTCTTGGTTTTATTGGTTTTGTTCTTTACTGTTTTGTTCAATTTTATTATAACTGAGGATATAGGCAATTCTTTTTAAGATAGCAAGAGGCATTATGGTAACCATTGTTGATCACCTTGTATTCTGATTTTACATTATGTACTACGTCCATCTTTTGATTTGACTGATTCTGTTTTGTTATGTCACATTTGGTTTTATTCTCTTCATAAAAGAGTAATAAGAACTGTGGAAGTAATAAAACACAAAATGTGTAATTCTCATTATAAAAAAGAGAGGATAAGAAAGTGCTCCAAAAGATATAACTGCATGTATATTTAAGCGTATAAAATAGATAACCATATTACTTAGTTTTTGTTGGATCATTGAACAGAACTGTTTGCAGTCTCACTGTTTGAATGTCCACATTATATGCTTTAATTTTGTAACTTGAACAACTATTTCTAAGATGACAATATGTAATCTATTAACTAGTGATTTCCTACTGTTTATTTTTTTTACAATTCTGTATAACTTGTACCCCTTTTCTGTATTTTTTCTTTTTCTCCTTAAATAAAATTTTTAAAAAAAGAATAGCAAGAAAAAATAGGAAGAGAAGCAAGAAAAAAAATATATCACACTCATTCTGGTTATATTGAAGCATTACAGGACTCCATTTACTTAAGAAAAATTCATCTTTGTAGACATGTTGCCTGTCTGTCTCACTGTAAGCTGGGATATAAGCTGTCTTTCATAATCTCATGTCTGATGACTTCCATTCATATATTCAGAGATGTTAGGCCTGGATTTGAGCAATGAAAATACTCTAGCTTATCTTTTACATTCAAAGACAGCAACGCTTGGTGCTGTGAAAAGGGCATGGTCAAGGTCATCAGGTAGCAAAAGCCCTGGGATAATGGCCATACTCCTGCAGGCCAGGGGCCCAGGACCCTTTACTATCCTTCCAAGCACAATTTGGACCCTAGGAGTTTCCCTCTACTATCCTGAATCCTGTGTCAGGCTGGCAGTGAAGAATGTGAACACCATCTGAGCAACAAAGGTAACTTCCTAAAACAGCATCTGGCAGAGAGGAAAGCAACCAGGCGTTCACTCTCCACTCCACAGACAGCAACGTACCTTACACATGGAAATGTCACACGCCCTGCTCATACCAAGCTATTGCTATTTTTTCTACTAAAAATGATGCCCTGCTCCTGTCTTTGTTCCTTTCCCTCTCTCTGAATACAAATGGCTGTTTGTACGTTGTTATGATGCAAAACCTAATTCTGGGAGCTGCTGCTTTCTCCCTGGACCTAGGGAGGAAATGCAGGGCACAATTGTGCTGATATGGCCACCTGGGTGTGACCACAGCTTGGCAATGCTCCTGAGCATCACTAAGAAAAGTTCTATCTTCTTTGGAAAATCAACCTGGAGTAATGCTCGCATGTGTATAAAGTTGCTGGGGCCACAAGAAGCTCCTGAGTGAGTGATACAGACTGCTTTCTCACTTGATCCTAGCAGCCACCTCCATGAGCAAGGTGGATCCAAATTCAACCCCAATGCTTAGTCTAGGTATGGCACAATGGATTGTGACCCATCATTTCAACCTACATCAGCCCTACAGGGACCAGAGGAATTAATAATATTATCATCACATGATGGCTGACTCTGTGCAGTAAGCTCCATATTGTGGGTGATGGCAACAGCCCATAGGTATACCACCATTCCAATGGGGCTTCTAGGGAGCAAAGCCAGAGGAACCCAAGACTGAGAACCCAGATCTTGTTCCTGGATGCAGCTTCCAGGAAGAATCTGTCACATGTATCTAAATCACCATTTTAAACTAGGTTTGGTGGCATGTGCCTACAAGTCCTGGGAAGCTGAGGTAAGGGAATTGCTTGAGCCCAGGAGTTTGAGACCAGTCTTGACAACACAGTAAGAACCCTGTCTCAAACAAACTAATGGTTTCTACACTGTGTACTGAAACAGTGTCCCAGGAGATGTCTACAAGTATGGGTAAAGATAGAGGTAACCAAAGCCACGTCCAAGGTATGCTTCTAGCACGTTCTCAGAGCCTTTACAGGTGTCCTCTTGTGTGTCTCCAAAAAGTGATGCAAGAAGGGTTGTTCCCTAATTTTCTTGGTTAAGAATACCATATGACCATCTCTGTTCTGGGCACTAGTTTAATAAACAGGATCTTTGTTTAAGCTGGAGAACAACTCAGAATTTTAGGAGACAGATGTAAAAAAGCAGAAGTGTGTTTCTCAAAATGTCTTTATTCTCTACCATAGCTAATAATGGGCACGTCTTATTAGCTCCTACTTCTGCTGATCTCTCAATGTGGTGGTGGTGAGATGCACAAAAGTGAGCAAGCACACATTCTCTTTCAATGAGGAGTAAGTGCAAAGTCCAAATGGAAATGAGATCTTAATCCATCTACCCTAGGCCTGGGCATGACAGGCTGGTACAAGGTTAAGCTCCTAGGAAACACCATGGCCACTCCATCTAAAAGCATCACCCTCCTCCTTTTATACACAATTACACTGATATCCAAAACACCCACTGATACTTACTTCTTCCTCTCAGGGAACCAGGAGGCTGATTTTATTCTTTATTTACAATAGATGTATCAAAGTAAAGAGCACTGGAGGGTTCCACTGGCCTGTTGTGAAACATTGGGCCTTAGTCACATTCCTGTCCTAGCCCATTTTTGCAGGTTAACATGGATGCAACTGGAGGCCTGGAGCAAACAAAGCCTGCTCATCCCCAATCTGTGGGAATCAGGTCAGCCAGGCTGTGAAGTGAAAGCAGGCTCAAGAAAACCCCAGTTGCTCCTCAGGCTGTTCTAGGAGAACTAGCTTTGAAGGAAATCATCTGTGGGTATAATACCCTAACCCAAGACAGGCCACAAAAGATGAACTTGCAGCATCAGCCCCTCCCACTATCCCAGACGACCAAACACTCCTCTCTGAAGCTCTCAGGGTATAAATCTACACCCAGATCCAAGTCTCTGATCTCAGGGCTCACTGGATCAGCTACTGCCCATTTTGGGCAAACAGAAAAGCAAAAACAGCCACTAAAGCCTTAGGATGCTGCAGGCACTCTGGCTAACAATTCCTACTGTCTAATAAATTTATTTCCATTATCATCTCCATTTTGTACAAAAGGAAACTGAAGTCCAAAGAGATTTTTGTAAAAAATTTTGCTTGAGGACATATAGATGAAGTCACTGGGATAGGCAGGTATCACAGTTTCTGACTCCAAAGCCCAAACTCTTGCTATTCCCCCAACATCACAGGACATGAAATAAAATGCCAGCTGATGGATTTTCCCATCCATCTTGGCTGAGGGTTGTCAGGGAAATGAGTGTGGCAGGTAGCTATGAGGATGATGAATGCAAGGACCTCAGACTCTGGCAAGCAAATCAAGCAGGGGATAGTGACCCTTGAGTACCACACAAAGATCAAGAATAAATGAAAACAGATGGAATGAGAAAGTCTAGAGTTGGAGTCTGGGTTGTTATTTTTTCTCTGGTTGGTTTCCCTAACAGTTCTGTGCTCTGTATTTGTTTTCATAAAACATAGGAAAGTAAAACAGGGCTTTTATTCTCTGTAACTCTTATTATCTTCCTATTATAAGACTTTCTAGGGCTGGGGATATAGCTCAGCGGCACAAGCACCTCCCTGTCAAAGTGCAAGGTCATGAGTTCAATCCCCAGTACCCCCCCCCAAAAAAAAAGAAAGGAAGAAGAAAAGAAATCATGAAAGAAGACTTTCCAATAGGTGTATTCCAATCAGTGGACATTAAAGCAGAGAAAGGAGACTCATTATGTAGAATGTCATTTCCCCTCAAGACATTTCTTTAGCTTTTTATTCTTTTTTTTACTGTCAAAAGCTGCCCAGAACTGTGGATGCCAAAAGGTAGTGAGTGTAATCACTTAGGTGGTAGGGTAGGGGCCCCTGCTGTAAGGGTCCAGAAGGACTAGGGACAAACACAAGTTTCCAAAAGAATGTGGTTTGGTCTACTGGTAGCATTCGCACAAAGGGTGCATGTTCTTCCCTCCAGGCCCTAAAGTTCTCAGTTGACAAACATCAAGCTTAGAATACACTGACACACAGGCAGCTGTAACACTAACGGTTGAACTTGGGAATGGTGAAGTCTAATCCACTCATCCCACTTGCTAATAAACCCAAGGATTCATTCCTACTGCCACCAATGAGGAGAGGGCTTCCCTGACAACTCCACCTAAAGTCACTCCCACTAAGTATGCTCAGCCCTTCCAGCGTATCACCATTTCATTTTCATCCCAGAACTAAGTGCTACAAAAATCCACAATGCTACTTGTTTTCTTATTTATTGACTAGAATGTATACTCTTCCTCAGGAGCAGCACAGGATCTTACATGTCTAGCCTCATTAGTGAATCCCCATGGCACGGAAGGCACCCAGTATACATCTACCGCTGGGTTAACTTGGTTGGCTAGAAAAAAGAATGATTGGATGAATGAATGAACAAAACTTCTGGAAAGAAGAGACTGTAAGCTATGGCTGTGTTATGAGCACTGTCTGACCTCATGATGCCAGCTAAAAGTTTCGGCAACAGCTCAGAAGATGTTGAGGACAAGCAATTCCCTTTAATTCTTAATACTCTGAAAAAGAAAAAGGGTGTTTTGTCATTTTGTTTTGTTTTGTTTTCTGACACAGGATATCACTACATAGTTCAGGCTGTCCTTCAACTCACTATGGAGCCTAGACTGGCCTGAAACTCATGGTGATCCTCCTGCTGCAGCCTTCCGCATGCTGGGATTATAGGTATGTGCTATTACATCTGACAAAAAAAAGGGTTTTTCTTGAGTATTTTTGATCCTGCTCAACTCAGGGACAAAACTTAAATCTTACATAACACAGACAGACTCATTTGCTAAAACTTTGTGCAAAAGGTCAACTTTTTTCTAGGATGAGTCTATTTTATTTCCATATGTGTTCCATCAAAGTTTAATATTTTTTACTTTGCTGCAGAGCAGAGAGCATCATGCATACATTGTAGATCGATAACTTCAACATGAAAAAGAAAGCTCCAACCCCAGAGAAAACAACACAAATAAATCATAATTTAATAATCTACTATTTTCCTCCTCACAACCCTCCCAGGGTTCAGTTAACTGGGTAATATTTTTGGGCCTGCACTGACTGAGGCTACTGGTCATAACTCCACTCCCCTCTCCCTTCCCTCCCATCCCCTGCTATTCTTTGATTTCCTCTCTCTCTCTCTCTCTCTCTCTCTCTCTCTCTCTCTCTCTCTCTCTCTCTCTCTCTGTTACGGGTTAAGAACTGGTGGTCAACTTAACGCCAGCTGGATTACATCAGCATGGCACTGAGTGAAGATGCTCCACCTGAGGAAAGTTGCCAGGATAAATAGGTGGAGAAGAAGGGAGGTGTTGAGGGGTTGAGGCGTTAAGGAGGCATTGTGGGTTCTCCTATGAGTTGCTGTCTGAGCTGTTGGTTCTCCTGGAGAAGCTTTAGTCCTCACATCGAGCATTGTTTCCTGGCTCTGGAGGGGAACCAGGTTGATGGTTGGTCTCCAGGATGAACTCGCCACACTGCTTCCTGGCACGTACCGACTGTGCTTGTCGAAGGAGGAGCTCGGGGCCTCCGTGTCGCTGAGGACAGCTGTGGTGCCTTTCACGATAGCCCTGGTCTTTCTTGTGAGCGTGACTTCTCCAGCTCCAGCGTAGAACCCTCATCCCGCTAGCACAGTTCCTTCATCCTGCTGGCATAGACTTTCTGGCTTCCACCACTGACCTTTGGGTCTTCCCGGCACGGATCCGTAAAAGAGACTGGTGTGAGTCCTTCTTGTGGGCTCTGGACCTCCAGTTGGACTCGTGGGAGGCACTGTCCTGAGCTCTGGATTTTTATCTGGACTCATGTGGGACGCTGCTGTGGGGTTTAGGCTCTTGACTAAATAATCTATGTCTTTGGTGCTGTGGATAGATTTCCTGCATTTTCCTGTGTTAACTTCTGGTGACCATTATAAAAATATTACAAACTCGATTTCCTGATCTGAATTGTTCTCTGTGTACAACCCCTGACTACAACACTCTCTGAGCCTTAGCGCACCAATGGGACCTCTGCCCTCCTAACCCACCTGGGTTGCCCTGCTCAGCATTAAGGACCTGTTCCTCCAAGAACCAGATGTGAAGATGTTGGTTCCTCTAGTAGCCTCCTAAGACCTGCCATCATTACTCACAAATGGAGTGAGGAATATCACACTCTCCTAGAGCAGCTTTCATAGAGCTCACCTACACTACAGATAGTGAAAATGATAAAAGTGTAACAATAATCATAATGATAATGGTTACCATGTGTTAAGTACAAACTACAATATACTACAGGAACTATACAAAGTCCTTTATATATTATCTCATATTACTAATTTCTTTTATTCCTCATACCCATTTTATGAGCTTTATTCCATGATCCCCATTTTATATATAGAAACTGTGGCTCAGAAATGTTACTTGCCCAAGGTTACAGCTCTCTCAGGACAGAGTTCAGATGTGTGGGTGTGAATTCCAAGTCTGTGAAAATCAGGTCTTCTGTTCCTTACAGCAAAAGGTATACTAACTAATGTAGTGTCACCTGGAAGCTGGAAACTTCACAATCACTATTTACAATTTCATAATGACCCTGTAAATTAAGTGACAGTGTCCTATGATACAGATGAAGAAATAAGGAACAAGCAATTAATAATGTGTCTGTGGTCACAGAGCCAGGAAACAGGAAGGGCAGGATTGGAATTTGTATCTATTTACTATAAAACTCTATGCCCTTTCCACAATACCACTCTGCTGCCTCCTCCAACACAAAACTACTTAGAAAAGAAACTTAAAATACAGAAAAATGCTTGAAAGACAGTATAGCTCCCATAACTGCCTATGACATCGAGGAATTAGAAATTGCCTAAATGAGTCAGGTATGGTAATCTCAGCACTCTTGGGGGCTAAAGCAGAAGGATCCCAATTTTAAGCCCAATCTGGGTAATGTAATGAGACTCTGTCTCAAAACTGAATGGAGGGGACTGGGGATTTAGCTCAGCGGCATAAGCGCCTGCCTTCCAAGCAGGCAGTCATGAGTTCGATCCCCGGTACCGATAAAAACGAAAAACGAAAAAAAAAAAAAAAAAAAAACCTGAATGGAGATTAGCTCAGTGCAAAGAACATGAGTTCAATCCCCAATGCCACAAAGGAATGAATCAGAAAAAAGAAAAAAAAAGGTATTGAATAACATGATAAAATTTTTATGTTAAATTAAGAAGCAGAACACAAGACACAGAACTTCACCGAAGTTCCTCTAAAGAGAATGCATAGAGAAAAAACTAGGAGACATGAACTGCAATTGCGTCTTCGTGGGGGAATGTGAGTCATTTGTTTGCCTTCTTTCTAAATTCCTTTTATTTTCCAAATTTCTATAATATGTACTACCTTTAGCATTTAAAAAGTTTTCTTTTTTCTTTTTGTTTCCTGGTACCAGGGATCAAATTATGAGCTTGTGCTGGCCAGGCAGGTGCTTATGTCACTAAGCTAAATCCCCAGCCCAAAAAGTTTTCTTTTTTTTTTTTTTTTTCTCTTTCTTAAGAAATTGGCTATCATCTACTAAAGGCTGAGTTCTAGCTTATATTCATTCTTGGAATGGACATTACTCTGAGTTCTGATTAAGAGTAATTTAAACCTTTCAAATATCCAAATACTCTTATTGACTCTTTGAGGCAAGTAACTGCATTTTATACTAAACTTATTTGCAGCTCAAATACAGCTTAAAACCTTGTTTTGATTACTTGTTTAGAAAATGCATAAGAATCACATTTGCATGATGGATGATGAGGCAGGGAATTACAGTTAGGAGGGAAAAAAAGCCCCTTCATATTCAACAGCATGTATGAAATCTAAAAACTCCTCTGACACACATATTTATACATGCTCCTCCCATGTGGGTGCTTTCCTGTGTCCTTAACAGCAGATGGCCCACTGTGCAGATGGAGAGACTGTGGTAGCTGCTCTTCAGATGACTGCCAGGCTGTTTCATCTGAGTTTACCCAGCAGCTGTCCTGAAACTGGCCCTCAGAAGGGCTCTTCTTGCTGTCAAAGTGTCAACTAGTTCCTCTACAGGTCACTGTATCTTAGCTCCATGTCAACCAAAGCCAGCACAGAAAATCCTGATGGTGAACATTAGTGAGACAGCAACAAGGACCCAGCCTTCCCTTCCTGGCTCCCTCTTGGTTCAGCCCCTCCTGATGCTGGCACAGTCTGATCCTGGCAGCTTTATACACAACTGAGCAGCTCGGAATATGGCCAGTGCTCTAGGTCACTCCTGTGATTAAACACCAGTGGTAAACTGGATAGAGAATTATAAAGCCAGGAGTAATTCTCATAGCTAAAATATTCTTGTACTTTTGGGCTGGGGATTTAGCTCAGCAGCATAAGCACCTGCCTTGCAAGCAGGCGGTCGTGACTTCGATCCTCGGTACCAATAAAAAAAAAAAAAAGAAAGAAAGAAAAAGTGTAAAATATTCTTGTACTTTTAATAAATGTTTTGCTTATTTTTCCTATTCTTTGCCTAAAAGAAATGTTTCACTTTGAAATGAAGTAAAAAAAATATAGAATAATAAAAGATAAAAATGTATGAAATCTCATTGCAAAGAATAATTCAGTTTCTATCAGAGTAGCAATTCAGCATTCCATGTAAGTTTAACAATTTAATTAGCTTCCAGAATTTAAAAATAAGAGATCTTAACATTTAAATCCAGGTTTTCAACTAAACAACAAGAAACACACCTAGAAGAGCAGAGGACAGAGTCTGAAATCCTGCATAGTGACAGTCATTAGCACTGAGAAGCTGTCAACCTGATGCCTTTTCCACATGGGCTCTGTAGATATCTAGGTTTGCTACATTTGGTCAAGATCTTTACATTCATTTTCCTACCCAAATTAACATAAATTCAAAACTTTTTAATTTTACTTTTTACTTTTTTTATTCCATTTTGGCATACATAAAAAGTAAGCCTGTCAGTTTTCAAAGCTGGCAAGTACAATCTTCATTGTCAATTTTAATGGCTACAATATACCCATCTTCCACGACTTTGCCAGATGAAAAAGCATTGCTTGCTGAGGTATCCTATATCATATCCCACCAGACAGTTCAGACTCCCTCTTGTAGGGCCCCTCACTGTGAGAGGACCATGATTCCTGGCTTGTTATCATCAAGTTTGAAGTGAGTCTCATGAAAGTGACACACATCAAGTCAGCAAAAGCTGTGGCCACCACAGCCCACTACCACCTTCTCTTCTCCTCCCACCACAAGAGCAACCTGCCATAGCTAAGGGCTGCTCCTCCATTCTGGCATACAGACCACATAGAACATAGCCACGGCTCACCTGAGATGAATGTGTGGCAGGGTGAAAAGTAAGACATGTAATGAACCCACTGTAAACTGCTATGAGGACTGCTCATCACAACAGCACAATCTAGGTTAGAGTAACCGCAAGACAAGATTAAAACAACAAATAACACACACATTAAATAAAATAATTTTAAAAGGCCTCTGGCTAATGCCTGAGGCCTGGTCCTAAAAGTCTTAGTGGGATATGGCTCAGACAGTGGCTCTAAATGCATGGTGGTTCTATTATAACAGGGTGCAGGTTGGCCCTGCAGAAAATATAAGTTTTATGGTTATTTATATCAACAGTGTATAGTACAAAAAATGGAATGTTAAGCAGCAAGATGCTCACAATAGCAAAGGAACTCAATAACAAAAACTGGCTAAGTGGGCCGGGGATTTAGCTCAGCAGCATAGCTCAGCAGCATAGGCAACTGCCTTGCAAGTGCATAGTTGTGGGTTCGATCCCTGGCACCCAAAAAAAAAAAAATACCAACAAAACTGGCTGAGTAAAGACCAGATCCACCCATGCCCATTAAGTTTGGAGACACTCATTTCAGGACACATGCTTTCTGGGTAGAACTGGCCTGGCTTCCCAGGATTAAGCTGGTTAATTGTCAGTCTGCCTTTATCTCTAAACCCCACCCACTTTCATTTTCTATTCTAAAACAAAACAAAACAAAAACACATGGGCTAGTCAAATGGAGTGAACTTCCCAGCTAAATCAGTATATAGTGTGCTACCTGTGCAATCATGGTATGTTACTTCTCTCCTTACTAACAGAAAATATCCAACACCCACAAGTTGAAAGAGGAAAAAGAGGAAAGGATTACTTTGGCTCAGTTTATAGAGGTTTCAGTCCATAGTTGACTGACTCCCGAGCAGGGAAGCATTGCAGAGGAGAAAGAGTTCACAGCAAAACAGGCAGGAGGGAGCAAGAGCAAGCAGCAGCAGCAGTAGCCTTCCTTCTTTCTGTCGCTTTATACTCCATCCAGGCTACCTGCCCTTTGGTAGTGTCATCCACACTCAGGGTGGGGCACTCTTAATCCCAGCATCACAGCCTAGATTCAGCCAGCTCTGAAAAGCACAATGCATGAGGCTTTGGAGGACATCTAGATATAAGCCATAACACAGGACTCATGGCCTTTCCTCATTGTGGGTCCTGTGGTCTCAAAGCTAACAAGATGCATTGCTTTTTGGACTATATATTTGTTAAATGGGTGATAATTCAGAGATGACGGTTCTCAGAGGCACTATGACTCGTATCTGCTAAACTAATGAATACCAAGAGATTCAGCTCAATTATCACTTTCCTGGGACCTGCCACATCTGGCTTACATCTCAACACTGTCTTTAGTAGCCCATCTTTCTTTTTTTTTTTTTTTTTTTTTAATTTTTATTTAAGGAGAAAAGAAAAGAAAGAAAAAAAAAACAGTGAAGGGGTACAAGTTATACAGATTTACAGAATAAAAAAATGCGCAGTAGGAAATCACTAGTTAATGGATTACATATTGCCATCTTAGAAATAATTGTTTAAGTCACAAAATTAAAGCTTGTAGAGTGGACATTCCAACAATGATACTGCAAACAGTTCTGTTCAATGATCCAATAAAACTCTGTGATATCATTTTCTATCTTATACATTTAAATATACATGCAGTTATATAGTTTAGAGCACTTTCTTTTCCTCTCTTTTGTACAGTGACTATTACACATTTTGGGTTTCATTGCTCCCACGGTTCTTGTTGCTTTTTTGGAAGAGAGTAAAACCAAATGTGACATAACAGAACAGAATCGGTCAAGTCAAAAGGGTGGACATAATAGATAATATAAGAACATAATACAAGGTGATCAACAATGGTTACCATAATGCCTCCCGCTATTTCTAATAGAATTGCCTATATCATTAGTTGTAATACAATTGAACAAAACCGTAAAGAATAAAACCGACAAAACCAAAACATTGGAGATATTGTAGGTCTTCAAAAGTAGATAAAAGTCAACGAGAATGGGCGTTATAATGAATCTCATTATCTTCTCAGCTGATGCCTAAACTTTCGAACCTGATACTATCCAGCAAAACAGAATATAGGAACCTCAGTCAAAAACAAGATGGTGAGAGTAATACAGGGCTTCAAATCGAGATAATAGAAAGTCAAAGTGGGTTACTATATTATATCCTGCTATATTTTTCCCTTTAATTAAATGGATAAAAATAAAAAAGTAAATAATGGAGTGGAGATTGAGAAAAAGGAGGGCATAACAGCGAAACAGGGCAGATCAAAACATAACCATTTAAGCAGAATAGTGTTTCACCACCAGCTAATCCTGACCCAAAAATAGTTACCATATTGACTCCCTCCCTGAAGTCCTTGAGTACAACTTCATATACTGTAGCATTAAGTATATCAAAACAATGTAAATCCATTTAAGAGAATGACAGCATTATAGAGTATTTAGAATCAACTAACAGAAAATGAACAATGGTCTCTGTATAATCTCCTTGTCTTTAAAAGGTTTTTTCTTATACTATCGTACATAACAAAATCCAATAAGATACAACCTGTTTAGACCATTGGAGACAGAAGAACAAAAGCTAGATGAGACTTCAAAACAAGATGGTACTAAATCAGCATTACCTATTAAGATGTCATTTTCTCCAAAAAAAGCTGTTCCTATCATCCAATCTTCTGTCTCATTTCTGTTGAGCTCTTTTTCTGTCAGTAGCTGTCAGTTTGTCTTCTTCATTTTGTTCTCTGCTCCATTCGTTGTGGCCTCCCCGCCCCTATTTCTGGGTTCTTTGTATTTTTCTTTTTTTAGAATATCCTGCAATACTTTCTGTAGGGTTGAATTGGTGGTTGCAAATTCCCCCAGTTCCTCTTTATCCTGGAAGCACCTCGTTTTTCCATCAATTTCCAGGGACAGTTGTGCAGGATATCTCAATCTTGGCTGTAGATTATTATCTTTCAAAGCTTGAATTATTTCTCCCCATGCTCTTCGTGATTTGATGGTTTGTGAAGAGAAATCTGCTGTAATTCTGATGGGTCTTCCCTTGTAAGTGATCTGTTTCTTGTCTCTTACAGCTTTTAATATTCTGTTCTTGTATTGAATTTCTGGAATTTTTATTATTATATGCCTGGGTGTTTCTCTGTTAGGGTTGTAGGTAGCTGGGGTCCTGTATGCCTCATACATTTGAGTATCTTTACCTTTTGCTAAATTAGGAAAATTCTCCTGGATTATTTCTGTGAGTAGCTTTTGTAGTTCACTTGTTTGTGTCCCTACTTCTTCTTTTATGTTCTTAATCCTTAAGTTATGGCTCCTCTTATCATCTTCTTGTCTTTGTATTATTGCTGTGTGTTTCTTTGTTATTTTTAAGAAGTTTTTCATTTCATTCTCCCATGTTTCAAGTCTGCCCTCCAATTCAGATAGTCTGTCCTTAGTTTCTTTCAAGCTGTTATGCCAGTCTTGGGTAGACTTCTTAATTTCTTGATAGTCCCTTTGCACCTGCTTCACATACTCAATGCTTTCTCTGTTTTCTCCATCAAGCAATTCTCCCCTCTTTTTCTGTTCTTCCATTCCACCATCCGCTTTTTCCTGGGTGGTGCTTAGCATTTCTCTAACTATTCTGCATACTTCTAGCTTCAGGTCATTGATAACTTCATTCCTGAATTGGTCTATGAGGCTCTCTAAATGGCGCTTAATGTATATTGGTGCAGTGTCCACAATTGCCTGATTCTCAGGATTGGGGGTCGAGGAGCCTTTTTTGTTGCTTCCCTTCCCCATATTTTCTGTTCCTTATAAAATGTAATCTTACACAGGAGGCCCGGCTTCCCTGCCTGTCAGCCACAGCTTGATCAAATTGCGCTGGCTAGTTGTTCCCGCTCACCGCTGCGCCCCAGGGAGTTGCGGAGGAGGCAGCCTACGCGGGAGTCGGTCGCTCCTCCGGGCCACCATCAGGCTCTGGGATCTGGGTTAGGCCAGCCTAGGGAGTCCACGAGCAGCGTCCCTCCGGCCAGGCACCTTTCACCAATCCCGTCCGAGAGGGAAATGTTCGGCTGCAGTTGCCACCGCGCCCTGCTCTTACAGGACTGCCCGCGCCCAGAAAAACCTCCGCTGGAGTCAAACTGCGGTAGGGAATCAGTTCCTCGCTCACCTCGCCACCAGTCAGCCTTCCTCCCTGGCCGTCGCGTTTCCGACTCCGTTCGCAGATTCCCGTTCCCAAGCCTCTGCGTGTCTCTCCTTGCCGAGCCGCTATGGAGGTAGCCGGGCACCTGGCGGCGGGAAATCTAAACCGCGGTTTCCGATGGCGTGGGGACTCCGTTTGGGGACTCCCGTTCCCAGAGCTCGGCGGTCGCGTCTCTCCTTGCTGAGCCGCTATCTTTCTGCCATTTCCTAACCCCTGAGTTTCAAGCTAAGCCTCAGTAACCTAAGCAGCCCACATCAGCCTGCTGTACCACACTGAGAGAAACACCCAGCATGGTACCTCCAATGGCACAGCTTAGGCATGTCTGCTGTATGTTTTAGTTTTGTGTCTTTGTCTCCACTTATTTTCAATAATATCATTTATGATATTCATCCACATTTGTTGCACATAGTTAGGGAATTCCTTCTCATGGTCCATTGTTCACTGTGTGAACACACCCCAGTTCATTTATTCATTCTTCTGTGGATGGGCATACCATGGCTATTATTTTTCACTTATTTATATGGCTGATTAACATCAGTCTTGTGATGATAAAAGCCTAGCCTACTTTTTCTCTTTACTGTATTTCCATCCTTGACTCAGTGCCTGATTCATGATGAGAAAAGGGAAGATACTGTTACAGGTATGCCCAAAGTGTAGAACCCACTGCCAATTACATGGGCTGTTTCAAGTTAAATAACTATCCATTTCTGATTCCTGTAAGCTACTCCTCTCCCTCTCTCAATGCACATTTCATGTCAAGCTCTAGGGATTTAAATAATTCTTGCCTCTTCATTCCAATAAAGATATTCAGATGTTAATTGTAATAATTTTCAAGGCCAAAAGTCTCTGATTCTCTCATGGTGGGCTGCTCAATTCTAGTTGCCTGAGTAGGTGCCCTAAGACAGGACATTTATCATCTTCATGTTATCAGCACATGTAAGAGATAAAACCTTCCTGTTCAATTCAATTATCACTTCAGTTTTCTTTGTAAAATATGCCTTTTAAGAAAAAGAAATACCATTAAAAAGCAAACTATTGTGCAACATAGAGAACATAAGCTGATCATGGGGCCTCCCAGACGAAGACTCAGCCCTTGACTGCCGTGACACCCTGAAGCAGCCCTGTGCTCCACTCTGAGGGTCTTCACCGGACCTCTGATGGAAGCCGACAAAAGGAAGTTACTGCATCTTCACATGGGTACAGAAACTGACCTCTAGAAGCGGAGACACACAATGTCATCCTATTATTATTTTTAGTTAAAATTGTTTTTGGTTTTTGATAAACAGTCTCACTGTATAGTTTAGGCTGGTCTCAAAAATCACAATGTATCCTTGAACTCACCTCCATTCGCCTGCCTTGGTCTCCTGAGTGCTGAGATTACAGGCATGCACCATCATGCCCAGCTTAAATGTCATCCTTTTAAAAATGACTCTTTCCCATAATGCCTTTGAAATTCTAACTCAGACACATGTAAACTGAGTGTCCTTGATGTACATATGTGTATGTTTGCCTGTTAATTTAATAAGTATTTGTGGATAAATAATGGTAAAGGCCCTAAGACACAGCATAAAAAATGACAGAGTTTATGAAAATTACAACACATATGCACATACACATTTCAAAATATTTCAGAAAGTGGCAAGAGTTCTAGAGAACATAAAAGTAGGATAAAGGGGTAGAGAAAGTGAAAGGGGTAGGGAGGTGACTTCAGATAAGGGTGCTAAAGATAGCCCCTTGGCTCTGAAGCCTGGGTATTAAGGAGCTACCCCAGAAAATATACATGAAAGTAGCATGCCAGAAGAAGAGCTAGAAGCCAACGTTGAAATGCCACACTGAGTTTGAATATACAATGGAAAAGTATACACTTTGTTGTTCTAACCGTGATGCCTGGCATGGGCTTCTCCCTTTTCTCCCAAGACTAAGCTGGTCCCTTCTACTTATCCCTCTTCCTCCCATGGCCACTGCCTGATGTGGAGGACCATCTCTGCATCCCTCTTAGAACTTCCTACAGAGCATTACCACTCCTGGGGCCTTGTAGTTACTGATTTCAGAGCTGTCTCCTACCCAAGTCATAATATTAGGAATGACAGGAATCACATTTTTCTTAACTCCAATGTTAAAACAAAGCCTAATAGAATTGTCTCAGTCTCAGTTTCCTGATAAAGTGCTATGCACTGGGGGAACCTGGATGAAAGGCACATGGAAATTCTGTGTGTGTGTGTGTGTGTGTGTACACAACCCAGGGCCTTGTGTATGCTACACAAGTGCTGTGTCACTGAATTATCCATCCCAAGCTTTCCTTTACTGCTTTTATCATTTCTCTTGAAGTTCCAAAATTAAAACATACTAATTAATGTGGAATGCAATGATAGAGAACTGGAATGATTAAAGTAAAGAATGAGGTGATAACTGGTAATACAATGTTTCACAAAATCTGGGATGCCATCAACTGTGAGACCCATCTTGATGTCAGAGATACCAAGCTTTGAAAATAGTACATGTCTCCAAATCAATGAAAGCAGCATCTTCTCCTGTGAAGAAAGGGTAGTGAGAAGCTACAAAATTCCCTCCTAAGGCCGAGGATCTGCTGCATGACTCATGCTTCTGTGGTGGCCACTGACATGCTGGCAGATGGCTCAGGTGGATCCTTAAGTGCAGCACACAATTGGGTCTGCCAGAGAAACTTGATTTTACGTTTTTACACGACATGAAGTCTAAAAACCTCTGGGTGTCAGATCTTATGTCCATAAAGGGAGATAATAATAGTCCTGAACTCACAGAACTGACCGTGAGGATTAAACAAGATGATGGAGGTAAAACCACTTAGCCTTGGGACCAGCCTACAGAAAACAGATGAACTAAAGATGAAGAGGTAGTGAAGGAGGTCAAGCTCTGTGACAAACAATGGGACAGCTCTGCCCTTGCCCTTGTCCATCCTGGGGGACAGTGACAGCAAAGAAGGAGGGCACAGATTGTGCTCCTGAGGGCATCACCTCTGTCTCTTCTACAGTTTGACAGTAAGATGGGGACAAGGCAGAGAGAAATGTCTATGAATTACCCATGAAAGGACTGAGGACTGTGTCTATTGCTCTTCCTACCATGTGTCACCTAGTTCTCCTGTTATCTATAGACCTGAGGTAGTCAGCAGGGGCATTTCGTAGATAAGGACACTGAGGCTAGGAAGGTTACTTCTCTTGTTTTAAGGTCATGGCTAGAATAGAGGTAGGTTTTATACCTGTCAAGGATCTACAGCCCAAAGTGTTGAAAACACAGGTAAATAGAAGCCAAGTCAAGAATAAAGTGCTGTTCTTCATGAAAAGAGCTTGAAACCTTATGTGATGAGTGCTAGTCATAAGAGCCAAGAAGGTGGAAATTCAGAGTAGGCAACACTGACCTTTTTGCAAGTCCAAGCAAAGATCAAGTCACTCAAAGAATAAAAACAGGTGCCAGAAGAGGTTTGAAGATTAAATGGGGTTTGTGGTTCCCCAGGTTCTGCCAGTTCCTTGACTAAGAATACAGTACTTGAAAACCAACTATGATAAGTACAAAGCTTTTTCTATATAGTGGAAAAAGATTCCTCAACATTTCTTTACCTGACTTTTTCTTAATGCAGATAGGGTGCTCAAGAAGAACACTGGCTTCTTCTTTTTACAGCTGTAATTAAAATGTTCCCATGTGTTGTGGAGTTCAAGGAGATAAGGCACAGAAAGACTTGGTGCAGTGTTTGGCATATGGGAAGAACTCAGCAAACATTACAGATGTCACTATGCAATCATTAGTTGTCATCATCGTCATCCATCATCAAACATCATCATCATCATCATCCATCACCAATCATCACTGTCACCATCATATCATCCCTGGCAAATACTGTTACCCTCATTAATTCACATTCTCTCTCCTCTCTTAGCAAAACTCAGTTAAGAAAGGTGGTATTTTTCTCATAAAGAATACAGAACTTAAGACAGCTATTGTAAATTTTCTCTTATATATGGAATATAGAAAAAAGATGATATGAAATAAGAGGAAGACAGAGAAGAGGATCAGGAGTTGAGGAAAGAGAAGGGTAGGCACCGAGGGAGTGGATATGATCAAAGTGTACTGCTGCTGTGATGTAGATCTAGAACATCACAGGTGAGGCCTTGGATGATGATCAGATCATGAGGGCTTTATACCCAACAGCTGCATGCATTGGAGGGGGAACTGGTCTGAAGAGTTAGAGCACTGGAAGAATAACCTGGCAGGATTATATCTCTCTCTTACCTCTCCCTTCTCTGCCTTCTTCCTGGCCACCATCACATGAGTCACTTTCTTCCTCTAGATCCTTCTGTCATGCCCTTCCACCATGCCATTTCTGCCAGCTGAGTGTGGACTAAACTGTCAGCAAAAATAAACTTCTCCTCTTTTAAGTTTTGGGTGTTGTATATTGTGTCTCAATGACAAGGGAAGTAACTAAGATATGTCTTACGTGTGACAGATATGTGTGTGCATGTAGGTATGTATGTCTTACAACGCCACAATGAAATTCAATGCTATTAATATGGTGTGAACTTAAAAAAATAGAACTCGTAAGGTGCTAGATCTAGGTCTGAAGATAATAAGCTCTATTTACCCATTTGTAAATAGGAAAGAAAATACTTTCACTCCTGAGTTAGCGAATATGAATCACAGCTATGTACATGAAAGGCTCAATAAGACAAGTATAATGATGTGTACCAGTAATCCCAACTATTTTGGAGGCTGAAGCAGATCACAAGTTCAATGTCAGCCTGGGCAACTTAGGGAGACTTTGTCTCAAACTAAAAAATAAAAAGGTGTGATGATGTTGCTCAGTGGTAGAACACATCTGGGTACCATCTCAAGTACCACCAGGGGGCGGGGGGTGTCAATAAACAACATGCTTCTAGTTAACAATGACCTTGTGCATTCTCCTGTTTCTCCTTCTTAAACAGAGTAATGCAAAACTGGGCAGTGGGCAGTGGGCAGTGGGCAGAGAGAACTGGTAGTATGCTCAGTCACCTCTACATAACCTATTTTCACTAACTCATACCCTGCAAGCAAGAAGCAGCTTGTTTTCCTTTTGGCTTCCTCTGGCAATTGAAACATCAAAGCTTGTTTCCCTCATGTCTTTTCTCTACCTCTGCACCTGCTCTGTCTACACTTCCCCAGCTCTGCACCAAGGCAGACCAGCAGCATCACAACCCCAGAGCTGAAATTCCTCATCCCCAACTCTGCTATCCTGTGCTCTCACAGTCATACCATCCTTTGAGACTTGCCACTGCCCCAGTAAGCAAACTACATTATTTTCCACACTCTCCTTCTGTCTTGGCTTCTGAAAAGCAGCCTCCTCACAGCCGCCAATCCAGGGTGCTGATTCCAAATCTATACAGCCAAGCAGTCTGATAGAATCTTACTATGTTGAGAAACCTGGCAAGAAGCTGGAATTCACAGTATCTTGGGATGAGCTGCCCCTATGAAGCAAGGAGATAATCACTCAAGGCTGAACTGGAAATGCTTCTATATGTCTGGAAGAAGTGGGACGAAAGACTGGAAGCTTAAAGCAACAACTCCTCATTGTCTACTTCATCGTGAGATAAAGGCTTAACCCAGCGCTCCTGGTATGTATAATGCAGTGGTGAACACTTAGGATGATGTGAAGGTCTCCCTAGATTGGAGCAAATCTTCAGATTCTAGTCTTGATTTTGTTAGCTACTGAGTTCAGACAGCTCCCTCCAAAAAGTGCAAGGAGGGATCAGTCAGTACTTTCACAGGTTTGGGTCCTTAGGACAGCCTCAAGGTAGATTCCTGTGCTGTGACCATGAAATCACCAAAAATAGGTAGCAACTAAGGTCCCTTTCACAGAGTATAGGCCAGGAAAGTCTGAAAGTTGGCAGTTTTTACAAACTTACAATCTTGGAAAGGGACCTCAGGTGTCAACTAGTCCCTCCAACACTGGACAGGGGTCGATGTCACTGAGAGGATTCTGCCACCCAAATGAAGGGATTACCTATTTTTGATCTTGGCATGGAGTATCCAGATAAGTACTGCTAAGATTACCCTTCCACTAAATAGCTATCTGCATTCAATCTTTCTTATATCAATTAGCCAATGGATAAGATTATGTCTCTATCATTTATATCCCTAGCATCTAGCCCAGAGTAGGATGGCTGTATAGAAAGGCTAACAGATGAACAGACAGATAAACAGATCAATCAAAACTTATTTCTGTCCAACTTCTACCTGCTGATCTCCATTTTGCCTTCTGGAAATTCTGTACAGGAAAAGGAATCCTAAACTTTGAGTGGAGGAAAAAGTGATGATACTTTTGAACTATGTGATCATAGGCAAATTATTTACTTAACATTCTGAAGATCTCCTTCTCTGGCTCTAAACTGGAAAGAATGTCTACTGAATCTCAGGATTCTTTTGATACTGAAATGAAATAATGCATAGTATGCCGGCAGATCAACCAAGAAATTCCTTTTTTTCCAAGATTTTATAGATCAAGAAACAAAAATATATAATTTTTAAAAATCTTATAAACAAAAAGCTAAGCCAGAATCTGAAGCATATATAACAAAGGCTCACCATCCTAATGGATCAGAAGGTGATAAACAATGCAATATAATGATAGGAAAAGGATACTAATATGTTATTCATAAAATGAAGGGGGGGCAAATTAAAGCACAGGTACATGTTCAAACTCACAAGTGACATGAAAAATGTACATCCTCAAATTGTGAAATGTAGTTTCCTCTGTCACACTGGTAAGGTTTAGAAGACTGACTATACTCAGTGTTGGTAAGGAACCAGGATAAAGTACTCTGTTACCTTGTTATGACTGAAAACTGGTTCAGCCTTTTGGGACAGCAGTTTGGCTGGGCCTATTAAAATAAAAAATGTATATTCTTTACTTTAGCATATCCACTTCTACCTATTATTCCTACAGAAATACCTACAAATATATAAAGCAGTTTGCACAAGAACAAGTTTGACAGTTTTGTTCACTGTCAACAAGAAATGGAATCCACCTAAGTATCTCTCATTCAGAGGAGTTACATAAATTATGAGTCCTTCATACTGTGATATATTCAGATGCTTAGGAAGAATAAGGAAGACAACTATCTATGAGACAAGAAAGAGTTTGTATTTTATCATACAATTAATTTTAAAAACAAAACAACATGAAACTACAGTAACATCTGTGGGCCCACACAGAGCAGTGGTTTTGCACCAAAGCAGTTCTGCTTCCTGGGGGAATATGGCAATGCTTGAGACATTCTAGGTTGAGGCAATTCAGGAGAAGGTGTGGCTGCTATTTACTAGAATCTGGATGTTGTTCCGTGACCCACAATGCACAGAAGACTCACCTAACAAAAATTATCTGGTCCAAATTTCAACAGTGCTGTAGGTGAGCCACCACAGTGCAGAAATACACACCATCATATGGCTCCCCCTAGCCCAAAGGCATGAATGTGCTGTTTTGGCTAGAATGACTCCATCTTGCCTTCTGCTGTAAGAATACCCTCATTCTTCCACTAAGCGGCAGATTTGGGAGGTGTGTGCCCTGGCCCACCCAAACACAGCATTGAATGGATGTAGGTAAGGCCCAGATCAGTGAGTCAGTGAGACTCAATCCCATGATGCTGTTAGCTGTGGGAGAAAAGAGAAGGCTTTTCCAATCAGGGCAACTGAGCCAGAGGTGTCAGCCTGTAGCCACCCACTAACATCTGTCTCCACAGTCAACTCTGAACACAGCCAACTTAAAGACAACTACGAAGATGGGAGGCTGAATACTGATGCCATCGAGCCCCTAAAATTGATGCTATGCCCTTCATCCTTTCTGTGAAGTAAATCCATGTCGGTCTGAGATAGGGTTCTTTCTCCTGCCACCATGAGAATGCCAGGGTGGAGCCGGAATCAGGTCTTGGTACAAAAACCTGAGTGGTAGCTCATCTCCCACACTGCCACCACATAAGAAGCCTAGCCCTGGATGGAGGCAGGGTCACATTCCAGGAGCAAGAAGGTAAGTAGATGCCTTTACCCAGAGGACTCTGTCATCAGTGTGTCCAAGAATGCTCAGAATCCACTGTGACCACCAGCACTCATACCAAGACGCAGGTCCCCTGGTAAAGCTGCCCTCAGGGGACAAGCACAGGATGGCTACAATGTTCACTAAAGGCAGAGCTGCTGAACTGTGCGTGCACTGTGGATCAGGTGACTACTTGCTTTAGGGGGAGGTCCTGTGGGTTGAGGATATTAAGTACCATCTCTGGCCCCATGCTCTGGATGCCAGTAAGGACAGCTTTCCCTTACCCATCCCCCACTCCCCAACCTGAGGAGGGAACATCAGGCAGGTTTAGGCAGAATCTGTGAAAAGAACACACCTTTTTATTCTGGATGTCTGATCATCCAATAGGCTTCTGGAGAGGGGCAGTTTCACTCTTACAGACCAGGAAATCAAGCAATCAGAACTCTGCCTTACCACATGTCTTTCTAGCACTGCATCAGCCAAGCAAGGTCCATCCTGAGCCATTTGCCCAGCAGGCTACACATGTGAGGACAAGGAAGCAGTCAAGGCCTTGCTCCTGGAAGAATGCCCACCACCTACACTCTCAGATGAGCTGCACAGGAAGACTATCTGTCCTTCCTCTCGCCCAAGCCTTACTTCTTGATGCAGAAGACTCCATCCACCCCAACCACTTTATCACCCAGCCTTGTTTCAGCCTCCAATATGTGAGGTCCTGTGCCAGGAGGTCAAGCACTTTATTTTTTCCTGCTCTAACATTAGGCAGGTGGGAGGTCTGACAGTGCAAATGGTGGGCCTCAAACTGCACACCACCCTGACATGCAAATACCAACCTTCCAACCAGGAGGCCTGTGTGGCTGGGAATTTTGAAATGTTTATCTTTCATTTGGACAGTACTGGGAAAGAAGAAATAGCCTATTGTGCCCATGTAATCACAAGGCCTCATTCAAACATGTTACATGGTCCTCTGCAAAGGGAATAGGACATAAGAGTGCTGGAAGGAACTGTTCTCTATGTTTGAATCACAGCTCCAGGATGGAACTGCTGCTGAGAAGATGGGGAAAGCCTGCCTGCTCTCTGGTCTTCAGGACGGTGTGGTGCCTGTGTGATGCCTCTATGAACAGAGCCCAGGGCTCCTGGGTGCTGCTCCCACGGCATGCAAGATGGGCTAGAATGTCTGCCCAAGCTGGGACCTTCACTCCCCTCACATCTGCTTCAGGCTTTCCAAAAACAACAGCCAGACAAGAAAAGGTTTTTCAAAGGACTTTAGGCAGGGGAGAAGAAAAGGGCCAGCAGGTATGACAGAGGAACCTGGGAAAAGTCTAGTGGAAGAAAACACAAATTTGTGTCATAGCAAGTTATTTTTCTTGGGATTTTGCTTCTTTACTGATGCGAGGGACTGTGTGACACATTTTAATAAAAAGCAAATGACTCCAAACATATCTCCTACTTTTTATGAAGTAGAACACCAGACACTGTCATTTAAGAACAGCAAACAAGGGGTTGGGGATTTAGCTCAGCGGCATAAGTACCTGCCTTGCAAGCAGGCAGTCCTGCGTTCGATTCCCGGTACCAATAAAAAGGAAAAAAGACCAAAAAAAAGAACAGTAAACAAACATGGGTTCTCTGAAAGCCAATACTGAAGGAAAAATCTTGGCAGTGATGCCTGGTACCTAGTTGTCCAGCACTTGTTCACACAGTGCACAGGAAAACAGGAGGAATAAGGCTGTCACTGTAGCACAAAGAGAAACTTTGAACACCTTCAATGTTTCCAAGGGGCCACTGTCCCTTCCTCCTGCAGTTCCCTGGCCTCCTCATGGAAGAATGGGAAAAGCCAGAGCCGGGGACCCACAGGAGGAAGCTGGGAAGGCCTCCCCAGGACTGGTGCAGGAGTGTGCTCCATTCAACATAAGGCAGGAAGTGATATTGCTGGACCCTAGGGACCCCCAAAGACATCTCATCCTGCTGGAAAAGACTGCAGCCAGAGGGTGTGGTCTCTACAAGGCACAGAGTAGGGTGGCTCCAGTTAGAGCTCTAAGCACTCATGAAGTACACTTCTAAGGGCACCTGAAGATAGTGGTTCTGCCTGCCACCCTAAAAACAGCTCTTCCTCAGGTCCTTCATTCTGTCTCCTCTCAGATGTCCACCTCTCTCCACAATCGTCTCCTTCTCTGGTTCCTTCCCCCTTGATACTCTTCCTGCTGCCCTTCAGTCACTTTCCACTCTACTTCAGATTCAGGCCTCTCAATGATAACTGTCCCTTTGTCACCAATGACTAAGTCAGGCACCCTACTGGCCATTCTACTTCATGGTCCTCCCATAATTCTGTCTGCTATCTGCCCTGGCACTGTCATTTTTGAAGTATTCTGACTGCAGTTAGGAGACATAACCATCATGCCAGTGATCTGGCTACATCCTTATTTTTTAATGCCTTCTGAAGACACTTCTCATGGTTGTAAATGTGATGTACAACACACTTTTCCATTAGCATTTAACTGCTTTATTCACAGATCCAGGCCCCACCCTCCCTTCCCAACTCAATAAAGCAGCAACTGTTCAGCAAGTGGCAACTGTGACCACAGAACTGAGAATAAACAACACAGCAAATGCCAATCTCCATGCCGAGCCAGTGTGTTAGTTTCACATCCTAATCTTCCTAGTCATCAGGTGTCTGATGCCCGCAATGGGCAGCTCTCTAGTTGACACTGGCTCATAGGTGGGTATTGAGGGAGTTAGGAAAGGGACAAGGATTAGGCAGCTCTGAAAGGCTACAAAAAGATGAAAGAAGCAAGTCTGTACACAGCTGTATGTGTCACTGTTGGTGTAGTCTTGTGTAAGTTACTGCTTTGGGTTTCCTCACACAAAAATAACAAAAAAAGGGAGTTAGGCTTGAATATCCCAGTTACCACTTCTACCTGTAGACTGTCTATAAAGCCCAGGTCTTTTTGATTTTCAGCTTTCCAAATATAAAATTACAGCACAGAGTAAACCCTTGAAAAAAAAGGCCCACACCCATGCACACATCCACATATATGCACACATCCACATATATGCACAGAGGTGAGCTCTGAATTTTCCTCAAATTCTATACTCCTTGACTTTATACCTTTAAGGCCAAAAAAGCCTCCACACTTAATGAATTTCTCATATTCCTGGGGACCCATCAATTACAAATTCTGGACTTGCAGTTCTCTCTACTGTGAGAATATTACCTTTCTCCAGGACCAGCTACCCATAGCAGCTTTGACAATGACTGATGGGTCAATAAAACAATGGGCAGAATCCCATGGCAGATTATGGAAACAGGCTCATTCTGGTGAAACAAATACTCATGACATAGCCTGTAGGGGGTGAGCTCCAGGGAAGGGACAAAGAGTACAGCAAAACAGGCTCCACAGGGTGACCCAAAGGAAGTCACTCAACCATGGAGTCACACTGCTTTGCCTATAACATGGAGATAAGGATTAGCTCCTCCTTCAGGAGTAACAGAAAGGAGGAAAGGACAGAAATCAAGATGCCTACAGCAGATGCTGCTAGCTGCCCACAAGTGCCAGCTGTCACCCCTGCAAATCCTTCTTGGCACCTCTCACAGATGCCACCCTTGCCTTCCAGATGCCTGAATGAGGGCATCTCTCCTCATGAGAACCAAGATCCCTTGAAAATAATGGCATCTTATTCTCTGATACCCTGTCACAGCTGATGTGGGATCTCAGTAAGGTAGATGCTAAATCAAAGTTTTGAACACACAAGCACTCAAAGACATTCAGGGAAATGGACAAATTCTTTTTATACCTGCTTACAGGATTTTTTGCTTATCATAAAACAAGTACTTAGCAGCTCCCGAAAGATAATATTCACAAGAAGCCCAGTGCCACACACTGTGCTCAGCGCTTTATACCTCATCACATATCATATCCATGCTGCAGGGTGGGCAGTGTTCTGCTCCTCCATGGTCTCCCTCTCTGCAGAGCAATGCTCCTTTCCTTAGTAGACTGTCTCCCTCACTGGACTGGCAGGCCAATGAGGGTAAGTCCAGAGTCAAGGCCAGCTCACCACTGATTTTGCAGAGTTTGGCACAGACTTGGCATATAGCAGGTCTTTACTTACCAGTCTGCAGGTAAGAAAAGGAAGCATGAGTACATTGTGAAAGAAAATAAAAGTCTTCCTGTTAGGAAAGATAAAAGCTATAAAAGAATAACCATGTTACACACCAAAAAAAGTCAATATACCAGAGGCTTTGGTGTCTTCACTTTTTGTTTTCAACCCCATCAGGCTCTCCCAAGAAGCTTTGGCTTTGTGGCATGAAAGTTCTCAAGGAGGAGAGAGTGAAAATAAAGGGACACGCTCTCATGGTTTTACCTAGCATGCAGCATGGGAGCCAGTACTGGCTGGAAAGACCAGAGAGCAAATGGCTGCCTCTGCCCACAGCTGTGACAGAAAGGATCGGGTATGAATAAGGACTTGCATCTGCCTTAGCGCTTATCCTTTTCCCCAAATCTGGAATTACTTGCTGAGGCAGAGGCTTCCTACAGCCCCCAGGACTGTAGCCACAGCTCCCATTTCTGCACCATTTCATTTTTCTCTACTCAAGGAACTCCTGTCTCTCTGCATAGCTACACACCAGGCAAAACACAGAGACAAGCTGTGGTAAAAGAAGGCTTGAGGCTCAAGGGTGAGCTATCTTAGGGAAGAAGATGAAAGGAAGAGACAGGAAACCCAAAGGTTGAAGTCCAAAAACATAACCATCCTCCAAACCACCTGAAGCTCCATGCAGTCTACTGAGCTGCTGTGATCCATTATTAATAGGGAAAAAAAAGCATCAATTTTTCCTGCATTGCTCAGCTAGACTAAACCTTTAAAACAACTGCTCAGGCTACATGATTCTGCATGGCAGGTGCAATAAAGAATTTATTCTAGAGAAAAAGCTTTGTAGAAACAAAGAAACCTTCTTTACAAAGGAGACCAAACTCTATGCAAATAGAATACTATCCAGAGCTAGTCATCTAGTAATTAAATTTAAAGATGGAAATTAATCCCACTGTACTTACACTAAAGGTATTTTTTAAAGAGAAAGACCTACGAGCTCAGAAAATAAGTATGCTAATGAATTACTCCACACCAATTTAGTGGATATAACATTTGCTAAAGAAAAAGTATGTAGGATATTTTTAAAATCAAGATATCTTTATAAAATTTCAGTTGGTTATTAACACAGAGCTCAAATTTGTTTGAAAGTCAGCTATTTGGAGAATCATATCAAATATTTCCAGAGGTGTAAGCCAGAAACTTATTAATAAACAAACTGTGTTTGTCTGAAAGTGAAAGAAAATCTTTCTCTCTGTATTACAAGGCAAACAGCAAGAAAACCTGAGCAATACAAAGTAAAGGACTGAGTTTTGTTTTGTTTTCCATTGTATTTGCTGCCGCTATTCGGATTTTCTGGCCAGTGCCTGGTGGAAACCATCTAATAGCAGCCCCCAAACCTAGGAAACACTTTCAAACTCACATTAGAAAGACCGTTGATATCAATGCTACCTTTGTACTGAAAATTGCTCAAAGGCTGCCACTTCTTACTTTTAGCACGAGTGGAACACACTTTGCCCCCTTGGAGGACATGGCAGTACAAACATTTATAAATAGCATTTATTCAATCTGATCAATAAACAGCATTTCTTGCTAAAGTCCTTTCTGCTGAATGCAATTCCAGACCTTTCCCACAATCCCTGCAGTTACTGATGCCGTGGGCAATTATCTCAGTCTTCCAGGTGGAAGGAGTATATAAAGGAGTCTAACCTTCTCATCATCCCTGCAGGCAAGCTTTTGGGGCCATGGCACTCCTCAGACAAGGTGCCCTGAAAGAGCCCCTGAAAGCCCTCCTACAGCCAGCCAGTTACTGTGGGGCCACACCTGCTTTGACAACTTTCTAAGGCAAAACTATTTTACACTGGTCCTCAGAGCTGGAGAGCTTGATGGATAACATATTTGTGCATGACAGAGGCCCCAGAGATGTCCTACAGAAAGTTCCAGGTATGGCTGTAGGTTCAGTCTCTGTCCATCATCTCAGTCATACAGGTGGCCATCATGTGGGTAAGACCTCGACCAGGCTGGACCTATTCCTTCACAATGAGGGGAACTGTCTCAACTGATTCTGGCATTTTCAAAGAACTTGACTCCACTCTTACTGGGAAACAAAAAATTTATGCAAATTGGTCAGAAATCACTAAGAATAGATGTTATCAAATGAGATGTTTCTCCGTAACTTTGCATCTCATCCATAAAATGGGAATGAGGTTTTCACCTCAAAGAGTTGTTTCCAGAGATGAATGGGCTATTTTACATAACACACATAAATCAGTAAGAGGCAGCTGTACCTTATAATTACTATTAATTTTTAGTTACAGTGTAATCATTCCTCTGTATCAGTGTTCCCCATAGCCCAACATTCTCAATTTTTTACAGTTTTCATTGTTTATTTAGTATTTTTCTTAAGGCTTCCTCGTTTCCTTTCTGCTTTAGGGGTAAGTAGGAACATAGAATTGTGTCATACTAGGAAAATGTAAAAATAAATACAATGAACACAAAACAATGCAAGCTGAACCCTGCTGCTGGTCAAGAGCGATGATTCTCAGCCTGCCTGAGTTTCTTTCCTAAAAGAAAAGATCAGAAGGCATGAAGCTGAGTCTTCACCTCCAGGTAACTAGAGACAAGGAAACTGCTCTCCCTGCAGGTGTGTGCAGGACTAGAGGCCACCTTGCTGCCCCCTGATGATGCCCATTGATGAGGCTCTCAGTGGCGCTGCCTCACAGAACCTTTGCGCTGCCGTCAGTGGGACAGTTCGATCATCCAGCATGGCCACCACTAGCCCATGCAGCTATTAAGCACCTGAAATGTGGCTAGAATGACCAAAGAACTGAATCTTCACCTTACTCAATTTTAATTAATTGAAATTTAAATATCTGTGTAAGGCTAGTGGTAGTGGTGCTAGACAGAAGAGCTCTCCTGAGAAAGCTCCAAGTCTGGGCTCTTCAAAAAAACTTCTGTTCTTTTTTTTGGAGTTAGGCCCTTGGCTTCTCTCCAAAGAGGTTTTCTGAAATTGAACAATGATTTGACAAGGAGATGTAAATAGACTATCTACTGTGGACATCCTTTATTATTGCTGAAGCTAAAATTCTATGTGGAGATGTCTTTTAGAGCTACCTTTGAGGAATTAACATTTTTTTCTTGTCATCAACAATGGAATTTTTCAAAAATAATCACATTTCTATTTTCATATCAGCTGCAAGGAAGCCCTTAGGAAGTTCACAAGTCAATGAAAACCACATTTTACTGCACGACAAATACGTTTTCCAAGTTCTCTTTTCAAATTCTTGGTTTACATTTTATGACTGGTTTCTTTTAACATTTTTCCATACATTTCTCTAAAAGTTATCTCAAATCTTGTAGAATTTAATAGTATGGATTTTTAAAAATCCTTTAAAAGATGTCCAATGGTATCAGTATTTAAATGAGTCACCTTCTATACATCATCAGTTATATAACAAAACATTGCAACAAAACCTTCCTAAAATGCTTCTAAATACAAGACTCAGATTCTGGTCTTAAGAAAACAAGAAGAAACACTTAGTTGGGCATGATGGCCCACAACTGTAATCCCAGCATAACACGTTCAAGGCCAGCCTGGGGTACAAAGTAAATTCAAGCCCAACCAACTGCATAGCAAAACCTTGTCACAAAAACACAAAAAAAGAAACACTGTTAGCTAAAAAGAGATTAACAATGCATGTAAGCAGTTGTGACTTTGCACTCTCCAGCACAGGGAAAGACTCAGAAGGCCTGTGACAAGAGCAGAAATTGCTGCAGGTCACGGAGCTGATGACATCTAAGTCACATCTTGGATGCACTGGAAGGGTATACCTGGGAAAGCTCTGGAAGTAGTGTAGGGTAAGGAGACAGTGGCTTTAGCGCCACTATGACCCCCATGGAAACATCTCCCGGACAACAGCATATTTGCTGTGTCCATCTCACTGCAGAGGTGACTTTCAGAAACTAAGTTGCCAAATTGCTTCAGGAGGTGAAGGAAAAGGTCAGTACTAAAAAGTCAAGGAAATCTGTTCAGGGTTACCACATTTTAATTTTGCTCTAAAGTAAAGTTGCCTGCTTCCCTTTTGTCATCTTTCAGGCAGCCTCTCTGCTTTCCGATGACCACAAAACAGAATCTGAAGGGCACTCAATGAGAGGTTTTTATTTCTGTTGGTTTGTTTGTTTGTTTGTTTGAACTGCATACCAAAACCCTCTCTAACTATTAGCTAAAACACTATTAGCTAAAAAGAAAAAACAATGCATGCAAACAGTTATATCTAGGGATCTGGTATATCTGATTCTCTTTTAAAACCACAATTGAAAGTATCATGAACACTCAGGTTCTGTTAACACTTATTAAAGTGCTATGATTGCCCATCTGAATATATCAAGTAAATTAAATGACTGTCTTACATCAGACTCTAACTCATCTGTCCGTAAGATCTTAAGTAAAATACAGTCATCATCATGCTTATAACTAAGACCCAAATAAGGTGATCATCTGGGAAGGTTAGAAAGAATGAATGTCTACCATGTGCTACACATGTCTAATTCCACTGCTGTTGTGTAAGATAAATATTACAAGATTTTGTTTGTTTTTTGTTTTTGCCTTTTGAGGCAGGATTTCAATGTCTTGCAGGCTAGCCTTGAAAACACAGTGACTTTCCTGCCTCAGCCTCTCTAGTGCAAGATATATATTATAATTTTATAAGGTATGTATTATTTCCATTTCACAGATAATGGAACTAGATTTACCTAAGGTCACAAAATTGAAACAAAGGCTCCTATTTGCTGTATCAGAGTTTTTTTCACTACTCCATTCCCTAGGAAGAATGTCTTCAAGCTGAGAATTCTACAGTGGGTCACCCTCAACTAAGAAAACTGGCAAGAAAACCTAGGCTTTTCACAGAGTTCCTGTAGGTCAAAACTAAATTTAATGAAACCTATTCTGATTCAAAGGACACTGGAAATAGGAAGCAGCTCAGAGTTCATGCTGAAATGAGCAATTCCAGAACAAAAAGAAACATGAGATTGGCAATCAGAATGCATGGTAAAAAGAGAATGATCAGCAAAGAAGTAGGCAGGGCTCAAAGAATCAGAAAATGAGAGAAGAAAAACTGGGGTCCTTGTTCCAAAATCACCTCCAAAGAAGACAAAGGTTACATTGACCTAGACACACAAGTCCCAACTAGGGGTGTCCATCTCTACAAGGAAGCTGAAGAAAACCTGTAGTCTTAAATTGTCAAGTATATCTGCTATTTAATTATCAAGTATATCCCTTCTTTTGAAAGAGTGTCCTTAACTATCATCTAGGACATTCCCTCTTGTAACGCAGACATATGATCAGGTGAAGTCAGCACCAATCCCAGTACCAATGATGGTCACATGAACCAAGTGGGCTAGTCACAGACACCTATCACTCAACCTCAAGGTGCAAGAATGCGTTCATAATCCAATACAGACTTGTGAGGTGTGGCCCAATACATCACTAAAACCATCTAGCTAGGCTGAGAGGCTAGCACAGGTGGGAATCACGTGTTAACTTACAAACAGTCCACCAAGGATGCTCAGTACAGAAAGAAGAGAGAGCAGCAGGCTCTTGACCACAGGGTGGGCAGTCTTGAGTCCCCTAGACTCTTAATTGCAACACAAGCTGACAAATCTCCATTTCCACTCAAGCAATCTGTAATATAGCCATACCAAGAGAGCCAGCTGGCGCAAGGCAATTTCAATCATCCCCCTTTTCCTCCTGTTAGACTGAAGGCCACACATACCTTCCATGAGTAAGACAGGCAGGTAAAATGCTAGTGTTTGGAAGGCCACAGCCTCCCACAGAGGTACAGTGCTCCACCAAAAAGGGTAAAGCACCATAACCTAACAAATGGGTGCCTGCCACCCAGCTGCAATGTCTACCTGAAAACCAAGTGCTTACCTGATAAACATGGAATGCATTTGCTGCTTTGCCACGGAGAAATACGGATGGGATCCAGACGTTGATCAGTGCCCGGTTTGATCTGACCAAAAGAAAACAATCAAAATTGGTCATTTTTACTTGCAAATAAAGCAAAACCAAAAAAAAAAAAAACAAAAAAAAAAAAACACAGGGCAGGAAAGAATTTTCTCCTCTAAGAAGGATTCTGCATGAGTCATTTATATAATCTATACTGCACTTAATTTAATAGTAAGCTAAAGGGAAATTTTAAATCTTAACATTCAGTCCGTCCAAAATTTTGAAGGGATTCAATTTAAAATATGTATTATTTAAACATGCAGTGTATACTCTGGAATGAGAAAGAACTGCCTTTCAGGTTTTACCTAGAGAGCACCTTGGCCTGTAATACAAGTGAAGCTTAGCTTCCACTTCTGATGAAGGAATAATAATGGGAGCTATGAGAGACCATGCACACTAATGCCCACAGTTTCTGGCACACCCCAGGAAGCCACATTGCCTCTTCATTGCACTAAATTCAGACCAGACCCCACTCTCAAGGCAACTCCAAAGCAAAGCTCAGAAGACCAAAGCCCAGGACTATGAGAGTGACAGGTCTTTGGGGTTTGGGAAGGGAAGAACAATGGGAAATAAAAAGTTGGAAAACCAGGACAACAGCTACAAATACCCCTCTTTGAACTTTTCTAAAAATACTATGTAGGTGGATCTAGTAAAGTAAGATTTATATTAAAATACAAGCACTGGAGATGTAGTTCCATGATACATCACTTGTCTAGCATCTGTTGTGTCTAACTGGTTTCCACTGTTGTTCAGGTCTTATTCTTCACAGATTTTCTACCTAGTTCTATTATTAAAAGTTGAGGATTAAAGTCTACAACTATTATTCAATTATTTCCACCTTTATTTCTGCCAATTATATGTTTTAAGGATCTAATAAGTACATATATAAAAATCTGTTACACAGAAATTAATTAACATTGTTTTAAGTGTCATCTAGGGATACCAGATCTAAGGAAAGTAAATGCCAAACTGTCATGCTGTCAAACCAGGCTTCCCCAGGAAGCAAGGCTTGCACCAGGCTCTGAGGACAGCCAGCTGAACTGAGTGGCATCTGAGCTAGGAGAGTACCTTAGGCAAAGAAATCAGTATCTGGGAAGAGTACAATGTCTAGTTCAGGATGACCTGAGTGTGAATCCCAGCTGAAATCTACCATCTGTGAGACAAACTCTACCATGAAGGCTGTGGTGGAGATTGAAAAAATTAGAATAGGATCTAACATGGAGGAAATGTTGGGTGTGTAGGTTAGGTGAGCAAGAACAATGTGGGGTAGCTGGTGTGCAGGGAGGCAAGAGGGAAGGGCTGCACATGGAGTCCAAGATCCATGAGGGCCTTCACTGTGAGATCTACGATGGAACTTGATCTCTGTTTTAAGAGAGAGCAATGATGCTTCTAGCTCTAGCACAGATGAGCAAGTTAGTTATAAGCTGCAGACCTCTGGAGAGAAAGGAAGTGATCTAGGCCAAGCAAAGGCTGCTACAGCACAGGGACTGTAGCATGGCAGTGTTTAGCCTTCTCTTCCACCAAGGACCTAGCAAGACATTGGCCTGTACCAAGTACCTGGGAATTTTAGCTCAATAATGAGTCTCTCTTGCTTCACAAGTTGAGTCATCTGGGTAATTACCCTTCATGGCCCCTATCTCACTTCCCACTTCCCCACCAGTGTTCTCCACAGCCTCTAGATGCTACAGTCCTCATGTCCACAGGTCCCTTGGAGGCAAACTTACCTGTCATGTGTATCCTTTGCCTCTTAGCCACCTCCTCAACCTCCCACCTAAAAGTCATCCTGACTCCACAGCAGCACTCCCAACATGGATAGGCCTCTTGACGTCTCTGTATTTTTCATGATTTCACTCACATTGGCACCACAGCTCTGCAAGGTTGGTATCAGGACCTTACCATTACAAATGAGGAAATTAGGCTCCAGAGAAACTAAGTGGTATGTCCAGTGTCACGCTGGCATGAGTCCCAGTGACTGAGAATTCAAAGCAGGTCAATTTGGCTCTGAGAAAACTTCTTTCTAATGTCCTGTCCTGTTTTCCCTCTCCAGAAGGAGCTGTTCTTAGATGATTCTTTTTCATCAAGAAGCTGGATTTTTTTGTATGTGTGTGTTCTGTTCTGTTCTGTTCTGTTCTGTTCTGTTTTTGGAGACAATGTCTCCCTAGATTGCCCAGGCTGGTCTCAGATTCCAGGCTTCAAGGGACGGGAGGCCTACCCTTCTTTTAATCACCACAAATGAATGAGTGAGGAAGGAGGTTCTCTGCCTGGCCCTTCATCCATAACTCACTCAACATTTGCAGCCTAGAAGGACTACTCCAAAAGTCAAGGCAACCTAATTAGAAATTGTTTGAAGACCAACAGTCTCCTCAGGGCTCATCAGCAGAGGCACTGAAAATAGTCAAAACCAATCAAACTCAGAGCAATGCACTGACTACTGGTGTTTCCTCTAACCCTAAGGTTGTGACTTCCAATACTGATACGAGCTAAACAGACAGTATGACTGGGTAAAGTGGGCCAGAGTGAAGTTAGAGGAGACAGTGAAGACTGTGGCAAACTATAGAGCACAGGTCCTGTGTGAAAGGTAGCTGCCCCTTAACTAACCATGGCCTTACAGGGAAATTTTTAGAACTTAAAATTTTATGCAATATCTTCCAAATTTTAAATGCCAGTCAAAGCCAAAAGGCTTTTACATATCCAAGGGGAATATAAAACAGGTTCAGTAGGCTTAGGATCTTGGAGAATAACTCCCTACTTCTTTTTTTTAAATTGGTACCGGGGATCAAACTCACGACTGCCTGCTTGCAAGGCAGGTGCTTATGCCGCTGACCTAAATCCCCAGCCCCCACTCCCTACTTCTATAACAATAAAATCAACTTTGTACAGACTTCATGGTAATTTCTTTTTTTCTCATGGGGACTTCTGGGAGGCCAACAGCAGAGTCCTACTTCCAAAAGACCCTCAACTCATACACTATGGACTTACATTTCAAAATCTGACAAACTCTGGTCTTCCGATGTTTGACTCAAATCTCCAGGTACCTACCATCAGAAGAGGGGAAGGAAGAGAGAAAGCAAATAATGGTTACCATGGTTTGCATAATCATCGAAGATTTCAGCCTCTCAATGATCCCTGAATATTTCCCATTCAGAATGAGGTGAAAAAACAGTTACTAGAAAACAATAAGAAATTTCGTGGAGGGATGCTTAGCAACAATGCTGCAGAAATAAAAATATGCCACCATGAGTGAACTCAATTATCTTTAGAGAAAAGGACTGTTAATCCTATTGAGATAATCACAGGCATGTAAAAGCATCTAATTTTGAATCTGTAAAGAACTAATTAGAATCCAAGATGCAAGATATCAGACATACAATAAAAACATACATTTTCACCAGGATGAGCATCATGCACAGACAAGCACATTACACAAACACCAAGGCCATCATCCACCCCTAAATGGCTCACTCACCTCCGTAACATATGAGTAAATTAAGCCAAATGTGGCTTCTCCTGACTCAGAAGGGACACAGGAAAACATGACTAGGTGACAAAAACGGTACTGTATGATATGATGGTTGGCCACAAGTGCTACTTGGGGATGCTGATCCATTCTGTGGAAGTGAGTGTGAGGGCCAACAGGCAGCCAACAGGATGCATGACCTGAAATACGCAGCTACCTTCCCAGCCCCAGCCCCATAAGGCAATTAATTCTCAGGACTGATTCAGGATTTGCAATTATTATGCAAAGAAGATTACAAAATGTTCACTTCTGGTAGATGTTCAATAATCGATAAATTATTCTACTATTAGGGAATGAACACCCTTTTCTGAGGTGATTTAAACTAAATCGGTTAGCATTTTAAGAATGTGGATCAAAACTAACAACCAAGTAGAGCAAAGAAGGGTGTAGGGAAGTGAGGGAAAAAAGAAGAATATTAATTTCACATTTTGTTACTATCAGGACTTTGAGATTATTTACAATTTTTGTCAGTGTTTTATCTCCCAGTTTAAAGGTAAGGAAACTAGCGTTTAGGAGGATAATATGTACATAACTTGCCCAAAACTACACAAATAGGAAATTAATATGAATGTAGGTTCATTCAACTTCAAATTGGTCTGTTATAAACTTCTCAATAAAAAGACAAAAAGCAAGCAAAAAAGATGAAATGTAGTAAATTTAAAAGAAAATCTGTCTGTAGACACTTTAGAAACAGGGTTCTGGCTTCGGAAGTAGGAAAACACAGCGGTAATGGAACCATCCCATGAGTTTATGCAGCTCAGTCTCACCTCTGCCTGACTGGAGAGACTGACCAAATCTCACACCAAATCACAGTTTAGAGAAACTGTGGGTATACAATGAGCATATAGCTATAAATGAGTATACAATGACTATAATAGTAACACAGGGTTGTCATAAAGATAAAATGAGTTACTGTCTGTAGGGGACACAGAGCAATGTCTGGCAATACAAAAAACCTCAGTAACTGTGTACTCTGATAACTTGACAATTACTAAGAATTGAAAGCAATGCATTCTAATATCTTTGATAACAGGCACAGGACCTGTATGGCCGGACTGCGGGGTGCCTTTTACCCTGTTCACAGCAGCCGGAGAGAGTAACCCAGGTTGAGACCTCTACAGATGTTTACAGTCAAGTAATTCAACTGGGCTCTGGGAAGCAGACTTTTCCTATGAAGGTGCTATTGAGAGATTCTTTCACACCCAAGGAGGAGAAGCCCACCTTGATGTTAGATAAACTTGAATTTCCTAGGACCTCACACATCACTAGTTCAAGGACTTGCTGGAATGGATGTCATCCAGCTGCTATTGACCATCACTTTCCTATGAGCAGCTGGAAAGAGATGGCATATTAGGAAGCCATTAAAACGCATGTTCCAACATCCCTAAAAACATTCATATCTTTTGATCTAAAAACCCGCTATCGATATTGATCAAGAAGAAACAATTAAAAGTGCCAATCAAAATTTGTATCAAAGATTCTCTCTAGTTCTACTGCTTAGAGAACTAAAAAAGTTTATACTCTAAAGCTCTATCTACAGAAGAATGGGTCAAGAAATTATAGCACTGAGAGGGTGAAGTAACAAATTTTTAAAATGTATTTTATGTACATGTATCGACATGTACACATTCCTGAGACTAGAGAACCACAAGTTAAATTCTAAAAAATCAGTACTAAATAGTAACAATGATTACCACTGATAAATGATCAGGAGTGAGATTAGAGGAAAAGAGATTCATTTTTCACTTGTTATCTTTTTGTAAGATAAGAAAGAGATACCCTCTCCATTTCTTTTAAAAATTGTAAAAATTGTAAACATGCTCTTGAAGAACAATGTAACTTTCTCTGTGCTTTTTTGAAAAGATCAGTAAGATAGACCATAAGTGAAACAAAGGCAGAATGCACACACAGATCTAATATATAACCTAGAATCCAGATATCTGTTAGTTTTTGCATCAAAAAGCTGTAAAAGTAAAATTCAAGACACTGATAAAAACTGTGGCCAGTGTGTTCTGGGCAAGAGTGGGACCTGGGCCACTTGGTACAGTGTGGAAATGAGGCTATTTTTATATACTTTTTTTAAATGACACTTGTTTTGAAATAATGCACTACCAATTAAAAACTTCAATAAATATACAATGGAGCCCCCAAATAGTGTTTTTGATAAATGTTTAATGGCATAGATCACAGCCCTGCTCTCTGTTTAATAAAAAGCAGCAAGAGCCTTAATCATAATTCACAATGTTTGCACGTGAATATCGTTAGAATGAATGAAATACAACCAGAAGATGATAGTGAGCCACATTTAGAACAAAAGTCATATGAGTCTGCATTAAGTATTTAGAACTTTCTGGTACTTTCTTCAATAAAGACAAAGACAGATGTGTAATTTGTATCAACACAAGTATGTAGCATCATATTACTAGGTAAAGTAAAATTTTTTCTATATCTCCTTCCCAACTCATGATGCAGAAAGCCAGATGGGAGAGACTCTGCCTTCAAACTCATTGATATATCAGGGATGGAAAACAAAGAAGCTAGGGCTCTGACACCACGCAAACTTCCACGCAACCCCTTCTCTCCTCTGGCTGGGACTCCAACTCCTGAGCGGGATCCAGAGTAGTTCTCCGTCACTCCTCTCCTCTAAGTCTCCCCTTAGCACCTGAAGCTAGACAAAGTTCTTCTATGTGAAGCCCAGGTATTAGACTTGAGGAAGGACTCAGGCTGTCAGACTCACAGGCTGTCACGATGCAGAGTTTCACCTCCTTTTAGTGAAGTCTTTATTTCCTACAGGAAGTAAACAGAGCTTGTCCTTAGAGACCTCATCCATAAGTGCCTCTGAGCGTATGTACCCCATAGGAAGCAACAAAGGCAGCAAAAGGAAGAGAGTGAAATACAACGTGTTGTTTGAAGGACAGGCATTACTTCAAAATCATAAGGAACAAAGAGCTTCATCAAAATGAATCAAATCGTGCTACCAGATGTTTTTCTGACAGATAAGTTTCCTCTCAGGAATGCTGGTGTTCCAGAAGGTTTTGGACAGTGAATGTAACTGCCTGGAAGTTGTTAAGTCCTGCTGGCTTAGAGACTTTTCTTTAAATTCTGTAGCATTTTTTAGATCAGCAAACCAGGAGATACTTATCTGGGTGCCAGAAGGCTGCTTAGAAGAATAGTACATGACCTTCTAAGGCTGTAACAGCACATCTGGTAACTAGACCAGGCTGTACCGCAACTGTAGGATGACAACAGAAGGGTTTGTTTACTAAATATCTTAGAGTTTGGTCTTTTCCTGCTATCTTCCCAGAGTACTACTGGATATCCTTGGAATTCATAGCAAATACCAAGAACACTGATTCTACTTCATACCCTAACAATACAAAAGTATGGACAGAGATTATCTGGAAAGAAAAATCAACCTACTCTTGATACTAACTACAAACATCCCCTCTGACATTCTGAAGCCTGGGGAATCTTGGAGAACTCAGCTCACTACCACCCCATCACCCTGCCATGGGGAACATAATGAAGTGACTAGCTACATATTATCTCCATTCACTTTTCACAAAGAAAGTGGCTCCCCATCTGCCCGTGATCTGGACAGCCACAGGGTAACAAGGGAAGCAAAGGCCATTACTGGAGAAACAGGGCAGCCAAAATTCCTAAGTCCTTCTGGAGGAAGACCCACAATGCTGTGTGCATAGGTGTGGAGTGTCAGATGAGACCACTCCCTAATTGAATGCATCAGCAGTAAAGCTTCTGCAGTCTCTCCTGACTCAGGAATCTCCAGAAGTTGGGAAGACAGACAGTCCCTCTCTCAGGGTAAACAAGCTCTTACTAAATGCCAACATCAATATGGAACTCTGACACTAGTTCGTCCCTTTCATTCTGTCAAGTTCTCAAGCTCAGGAAGATACTAAAAGTTTTGCCAAAAGAACAAACAGTTCACTGGGTGCTGAAGAAATGTTTATTTAAGTTATAAGAGGATAGAGAGACACAGAGACACAGAAAAAGAGAGAGGAGAGGAGAAGGAGCAGAAAAGGAAGATGAAAAGACGAACAAGAGGAGGCAGGAGAAGAAACAGAAGGAATAGACAGGGAAGTAAAAGGATGAGATAGAGGGAGGCAGGGAGGTAAGTAAAGAAATGGTCTATCAGCCAGCTTGTTAAGTCATGAGAAAAAGCACATCTCCTTCCATAGGTAGAAATCAGGCAGGGGCAGTAAAGGTGGACAGGGACCTTCTCTCCTTGGAGATGCCCTCACCTATAATTCTAAATGTTGTATAAACATGACACTTCAACTAGGAACCATTAAAGACTTCCTGTTTTATAAGGCACTTTCACGTAACATCTTTCCCACAGCCTTCTCCCAAAGCCATGGGTACTCCATGACAGTAGGGAGGACAAAAGGCTCAATGTGAACAAGCAGACGGGAGCTCAGCAAATGCTCCAGGTGCAGACAGAACACATGGGATATTCTAGTCAGTAATCACCTCAGCTCATAAAAGACAGCCAGCACCAGG